AGCGGTTACTTTTCACTTTATGGTTTTAAAATATTTGGCTTTGTATAATATATGCATGTATTGCCATTAACAATATATATGTATTAGGCACTCAATAGTGAGGGACTCACCTACTTGCCCCTTTTTGGCACATAGACGTGGCAATATACGTGACACAGACGTGGCATCTCGAAAATGAATAAGGACATATGAATTTGAGTCAGCTCAACCCAGAAATCACCATCATAGGCAAAGAACAGCATCTTTTGCCAGGAAGAGCTTAGTTCCTTGTGAACGCTGGACCTTTTTATAAAGTTATATTTTTCCCTTTTCCCACATCCTAGCCTGCTAGAAAGGAATCTTCCCTAAACATAGTGGTCCCTCGACTGATTAATATCGTTTAGGGATGCAGTTTGCTTTAATAAAAGTATAACAATAAACAAAACAGAAACTCTTACAGAACAAATTGGTAGTCTTCAGATGGGAGAGAGGATTGGGAGAGCTGGGTGTAAAGTACAGCATAGGGAATATAGACAATAATATTGTAATAACTTCGTATTAGACTTATGGGGGTGATCACTTTGTAAGTTATATAAATGTCTAACCACTATGTTGAACAGCTGAAACTAATATAATATTGTATGTCAATTGTAATTGAAAAATAAGTTATTGGTCTTCAGATGGGAGAGAGGATTGGGAGAGCTGGGTGTAAAGTACAGCATAGGGAATATAGACAATAATATTGTAATAACTTCGTATTAGACTTATGGGGGTGATCACTTTGTAAGTTATATAAATGTCTAACCACTATGTTGAACAGCTGAAACTAATATAATATTGTATGTCAATTGTAATCGAAAAATAAGTTATTTAAAAAGATTTATTAAAATAAAATCCTCTCATCTTTATCACAACAAATAGTGAAATTTCTGGTTGTGAGAGTGTGTACTTGACACAGTATGAAAGAAAAATCTCAAAAAAAAAGCTCAAGAGACAAAAAAAAAGCACAAAAATATAAATTATTCATGTTGGTATTTGTTAATGTCAAGTAAAGGAATAGGTGTGTGCTGTAAGAGTTCAAAGACAGTGAATACCTGGGCAGTTCACAAAGGCCCTAGAGAGGATCAGACATATTTTGTGCCTTGAAGGACGATGGTAAGACTTAAAACAGAAGAAAATATACCAGGCACAAGAAAAAAATATCAAAAAAGTCCACAAGTGAAAATGTAAAGAGCTGCTTGAGAAATTAAACTAAATCAGTATGACTTGCATAAAAGCGAAGAAAACAGTTTTAAGAACTTGAAGTCTTCTTAAAGTTCAAAGCAAGGGATTTGAATTGGGGCTTTGGACAGAGTAGGCAGTAGACAGATTGAGAGGCTGTAACAGGTGGATTGCTCAAAACTATGTTTTTTACAGGACTACTATGAGCAAATTCAAGCTCTGAATAGTCTGGCCAGCCCCTCTGAAACAATTTTGCCCCTTCTCATTAGCCTAGTGTTTTGAAAAATTCTGTTGACAGAATTAGTAGAGCACAAAGGACAAGAGTGATAAGCCCTTTTCTAATGGAACCAGAAAAGAAGGGCAGAAATGAAGTCAGAAGTGATAATATTGAGTGTCTGGGGACAGAGATGGATGAGGCAAGGATACTGGTTGTCAAGGAATTGGTAGTGACAAGGAGAAAATTCTGAGATGTCATAAATTAAATTATAGCAGGCCAGAGGGAGGAAGAAAGAGAAAAAAGGGTAAATCAGTTAACAACTGCAATGCAAAACCAACAGAAGACTGCTCATAGTCCTTAGAGTATGTTGGAATTGTTACATTAACTTTCAGGTGGCTATTTCTGAGATTATCTAAAAAAGAGAGAATAGCCAGGTGCCATAGATCCCCAGGAGCTTCTGCTTCATGTTTACACATGAATTTTACAGACTCTAATGTGGACTCCATTGCAGACTCTGCTGAGCTTATCTCAGAACTAGCCCTGTTCACCTTCCCCCATCTCCTCTGTCTACAGATAATGTAAATCCTTTCAGAATGGCATACATTTTTCTCCGCCTACTTGATGTGTAAAAATGCTGGCAAAACTCTAGGATGACAGACACGTCTTTTCTATCTAGCTGTCCTGCTGTGCTGCTGGTGGTTTAGACTCCGACCCCCAAGACCGTTCTTCCTTTTTTTTTTTTTTTTTTGCTAGCAATGGCCTAATAAACCCTTTCTTTTAAAGATACTTTCAGCTGTGGAAGTAAAAAAAATAAAATAAAATAACATTATTGAATATTCACCATGTGTACTAAGCACTACCATAGGCCCCAAGAGGTGAACAAGTCATACTCTCTACTGTCATAGAACCTAGCAGGATGACTCTGAATTTCCACCCAAAAAGAATGATGATACTGCTAACGAAAAGCCTGGAAGACATGAAAAGTTGGGTGGTGCTTGAGTTTTGGATGATGCACCACAGAAGGAAGGGTTCAGTGCTAGAAAATGCAGAACTGAAGCTCAGTCTGGAGAGAGCTTTTCAGATGATGATTGGCTCAACACTTAAGAACTGATGAGTTCCTCAAAGGAGAGAAGAGACTGGACTAAGATAAGGCTGCAGGGGTAGAAACAGTAAAGAATGAGAAGAATGACCAGAAGGCCAACCAACACAGGGCCATATAATGGTGTCTCAGAAACCAAAAGAATCAAGTAATGATACTGAATATTGCTGGAAGTAAAAAGAGAGAGGCAGGCAGGGAGGGAAGTAAGGAAGGAGAAAGAGGGA